ACCATAGACTTTGCATGTAAACCTGCTGCTCCTGACGCTGAAATCGCGTTTGGTGTGAACGCACCATAACATACGCCCCTGCAGCAGTCAGAGGGTGGAACAGTTAGCAAGCTTAGCATGATCGTCTGTTGACCTGGGTGGGGAGAGCTGACTGCTGCGCTGCTCTCTCTCTCTCAAGGACAGGTAGATGGTCCGATAAAAGAGTTCCATAGATTTCAACAGTGGACACATTTATTCCATACGACAGAACAAGATCCAGTGTGTGGCCTTTTTCGTGAGTGGCGCTTTTGACCGACTGTGTGAGGTTAAAAGAATCAATAATATTCATAAAGTCTTTGACCAGTGGTCCAAACTCACAGCAAACATGGATGTTAACATCACCAACTATTAAAAGACGGTCATATCGTAGCATAAGTCCCATCATAAAATCACTAAAATCTTTAATAAAATCTTTGCTATCCTTTGGTGGTCGATAGATTGTAGCGCAGAGTAAAGGAGGAGATAAATTAATCTCCACCATCTGAAGTTCAAAACTTGAGTAGGAGTGAGAAGGAATCAGCCGACAGRTAAAGCTGGATTTTAAAACAGTAGCTAATCCGCCTCCTTTGCCAGTAGTCCGTGGAGAGCTGAAGAAACAGCATTCAGGAGGGACAAGTCCAGAAAACGGAGCAGACTTACCAACATGAAGCCACGTTTCTGTCAGGAACATAAAATCCAGTTTTTGAGAAATAAAAAAAGTCGTTCAAAATAAAAGTCTTGTTGGCCATTGATCGTGCGTTCAGTAAAGCTGCACGGAGAGTTAGATCCTTGTTGTCCGGCGCAGGTGCACGGGCCAGCTGGCCAAGATTCGTGGAGATGACACCGCGTCTGGGAATCACCTCCGTCCTCCAGTAGCTGGAATCCTCCCGATCCAAATGAACAGATGGAGTCAGAGGTAGTATCCAGCGATGTCGCCATCCATACAGGTAGCCATTCAAACTCAAGCGAGAGTTATCAGATGATCTCAGCCATGCTTTGATCCTCACCAACAGCCCTCCCCGCTTTCCACGTCGTCTCGAGCGTCTGAGGTTGGAAGGCGCAGGGCGCACAGCGCAGGTAGTCCGGTATATTTGACAGATGTGGAGGAAGGCTCGATGAAAACTTTGCATCAAATATTGGCAGCTTATGACGGAGGCTTATAAGTGTTAAGCGATCGTAGACCAGCAGAGCAGAGGCATCAGAGCAGATCAAACCAAAAAACAAACAGACGCCAAAAAGTAAAAACATAAGTGGCATACGGCTAGCCGTGATTGGCGCCATCTTGGTCTTGGAGAAGCTGGCATTCAGGGTGATGGCAGTCTCTGGTCTGACTGAGCAAAAAAAAAAAAAAGGCAACAGTTAGCCTTGCTCTGAGAGCAGCAGCCGAAAAATTCAGCAGGCAGAAGCTCATTGTATGGCAGGCAGATATTATATTTATTTGGCTTTACCACACTTACCTTCCAATTATCTGAAATTGTTTTATGACAGGACTATGAGCAGCTTAAACCCCTTAAAAAGTGAAATGAAGGAAAAAGCCCCCAAAATGTGTATTTGGCATATGGGGGGGGGGAATTCATTTTTTTCCAGTCTCCTCCACATCGCATCAACACAAACCTTCTGCCCTCAGGATCTTAAAAAAATGAAAATAAAAACACTGGCAGCTGACCCTGCACCACATGTGAACACCAAGGCCACATAATATTCCATTTAAAGTCCACAAAATAATGTAAAAGTCTTAAAAACAAAAGCTGCTTCTACATGTAATCCTACGAGGCGCAAGAGTCATTCATCAAATATTACGTCACACAAACTGCGCCCCCTGCTGGAGCTCTGAATGGGATGCAAAAGTATCGTTTTTCACGCAATTTTAAGAAAATTACGTTTTGGTCAAATTTACAACAATATTTAGACATTTTATTGATATTAATACTACATACAACATATTGTAACAGTACCGGGTTATTGATTTTATTTTATTGCTATTAARTGAATAATAGTTGGGCGCCAGTCAGGTTTCCCTCTTGACACATAGGATGCTTTTACCAGATTGAGTTAACTGTTTTATATTATAGATGGTTTAGAGTTTGTTAAATTGTACCGTACACCAGGACATACAGATTATATAAGAAAAATATAACTATATACCCTGTCAACTAAAATTAAATACTAAGTGACAAAAATATACTTAAATAAAGAGGAAGTGAGCACAGACAAGATGAATGAAATCTCTCAAATATATTATTTACAAAAACAGAACCAAAATAACAAAACAAMTCAAATACAAACAATACAAAAACAATTTATCCCTTTTACCGTCACACTATAACATTTTAGACAACTTATGCCAATTTAGAATTTTTTATGTCTAAATGACTGATTTTACTTGAAGTAATGGTTATAACTATATTTTGATACTGTTGAAAATTTGAGAAATGTTTTTGTTGTTGAAACCGTTTTGCAATATATATGAAAAATCTTTTGTACTTCTGTTATGTTCATTTGCACTGCAGCAAAAATAATGGGTTTGATTATGATTACAGTTTTCTGCAAAATAAATGCTCTAAAAATTACATTATTTTTGCTTTTTATGATAATTTTCTACAGCGATATATAGTTACCATGAAGTACCTCCCAGCACTACAACTAAAGCTATCGAATGTTCCACACTGCTACTGAACAACATAACGTACTGCTGTTAAAGATAGTCACGTTCAGACGTTTAACTCAGCTATTCAAAGTTTACACCTAAAAATGAAGGTTGTTAGAGGAAGTCAGGCCCTCGTCAGCCAYAATGGGGTTTTAGCAGGGTCCTGGTGAGGCCTTCATGTGCACATTAAGAATGCAGCTGGCTCCATATTCTGTAGCTCCACATGCAGACATTTTGCACAGGTTTATTAATGAGGGCTGCATTTCATTTAGAAGGATTTCTGCTTGTTAYCATTTTCATAGAACAACCAGCGTGCACAGCAGCAGAAGTGAAACTGCAGTCCTTGTTGATCAATAGGATCGCACCACTCTCACCACAAAGCTGCAACATGTTCACGCACCAATAAATAACCAGCATCAAGAGGACAGACAGAAAAACTGACTCATTTTTTGTCTTTTTATGGCAAAATGTTCATTATAAAAAAATACAAACTGTTTGCTTCAGTGTTTAATGTATTCTTTTAAAAAAAATGAGACTTTGAATTCCTTAATTTCAGGAAGTGCTGACACTTCGAAATCTGTGGGCTTTAGGTTACCAAGTAATTGTGTCCTATGAACACAACATGGCCGGCTCTCACAGCGACCTGTGGCCTCACATTCCTTACTGGTGGGCCAACAAATGCAAAGCCGAAGCTCTCATCGAGGAGTTTGAACAACGGAAACAACGTGGCAGACCAGGTAGTGACGACTTTAATGACCTCTCAATGTAAGGATAAAAAAGGTGCCGCTCACTTGTAAACAATGACATGTTTTGTGTTGCAGGAGGTTTCTTTGTGACAGGCATTAATCTGACTGAGGACCTGAAGTACATCTGCACCCACCCCACAGAGTCTCTGAAGGACCTGGTGATGTCCACGTACCCRGCTCTGCTCGGCTGGGTCAAAGAGCAGACGCCCGGCTCTAGAGTGGGCTCTCTCAACATCATAGCAGGGGACTTCATCACAGAGAGCCACTTTGCGGCCACGGTCGTCGCCCTGAACGAGAAGCTGCTCAAATGGCCCTCCTGATTTCTTGCCAAAAAAGCACTTATTATCCCACAAAACAAAGTGAATCACAGCATGAAATTCACACGAGCTTGTTTCATTCAGAGTGATGGAAAAATACTTTAGTACTTGAAATATTCATGTGATCATAAATGCACTTAGAGGAGGCAGTGGCCCATCCATTTCAGTCCTAAAGGTGCTTGGAAAACAAACTTTTTTTAAGTATTTTGACTTGCACTGGTTTGTTTACCTTCAGTTTACTATTTATGCAATGTCTTGTGTCAGTTTTCACCAGTCTGCAGGGGCAGGCAGTTTCCCACCACGCTGACCAAAGCAATAATACAACCCCTGGCAAAAAGTATGGAATCACCAGTCTTGGATGAGCACTCATTCAGACATTTCATTACAAAATCAGATCAAAAACATGACACAATAATAAGGTCATTCCAAAGTGCAACTTGCTGGCTTTCAGGAACACTTAAAGAAATGAAGAGAAAACATTGTGGAAGTCAGTGAARGTTACTTTTATTGACCAAGCACAGGGAAAAAAGTATGGAATCACTCAATTCTGAGGAACAAAGTATGGAATCACTCAAATTGGAGATAGAAAATAAGGACACACCTAGTCAATTGCCTTTCCCTAAATGGACACCTGCCTCAGATTAGATCTGCTCATTAGTCTGCAGTCATGACACCTTGGAGGGCTGCTGGATGAAGTGGAGTGACAAGAACCATGGCTCCAACAAGAGAAATGTCTCTTGAAACAAAAGAGAGGATTGTGAAACTTCTTGAAGAAGGTAACTCCACGCATGGTTGCTAAAGATGTGGGCTGTTCACAGTCAGCTGTATCCAAGATATGGACCAAATACAAACAGCATGGAATGGTTGTTAAAGCCAAGCTGTCACCTGCGGACATGAAAGCACCTGCTGCGAAGCAGGAGGAAAGGACAGCGAAAAAAGTTCTAAACTTATTTCTAGCAGAAGAACAGGTTGGAAGATGGCTGTTTGATGTTATTGTTTTTTTAAATCATCCTACAGGCTCTGACATTTTAGATAAATTTGAAAATGAGGTTTTGAAAAACCTTCGCATGGACATCGGGGGCAGTACCCCTGGATTGGCAGACTGGGGTGGTGGTCCCC